AAAGATAAATAACAAAGGTACCTTGATCTTCACCAGCTTTCTTTCAGTTATATGCAGGGTAGATGCATGGGTCTGGTACTGCCATGCTCACTCCTGAGATAAAATTACCATTTCTTTTAATATAATCATTTCAATTTCAGTAAGGCTGTTTAAATTACGCTTTTAGAAGTGCTTAATCTCAGGAAGAAGCAACAATACATACAGTTTTTATTTTTAAGCAAGTATCACCATTTTCATTACTAGGACTGAAATTTAGGATTTTTTTCACCAAATGAGGCTGCTGTTCACAGAGGCCCAGCTATCTGTTTGAGGTTAGCACCCTGCCGGATAGCCTGGAGGCATCCTGTGCTGGCATGCAGTCCCTCAACAATGGCTTATGGAGAAAGGTAAGAGATGAAGCAGATAAGGAAAAATAAAAGAAATCGACGCCTGTGTAGTTGGGTCCTTCTGATTTTCTCAGAGCTATCCTCATAAAGAAAGCACTGTGAAGCCATACCAGGGAAGACAATTACTATTTCCTTCAAACCCATTGTGCAATTAGCCTTGCATGAAACCAAATGACTTAAACGAGAGTAGAAGGTGATACGAATCTCACAAGTTTTCATCATAGGGGCAGTAGAAAAAATCCACAACAGTCTTCAGGCTGCCACTTTAACTCATCGAAGCCACTGAACCTTAGTTCCCAAGAGCACTGGCAAGGCATTGATGGCTTGGCTGTTCTTGATCATCTGTGCTGAAGGTAAACAAGGTTCCCACACATCTGTAACAGCCAACAAGCATATGCATCTAGCAACATTTGTTATTTGGTGAGCTTGAAATCAAGGTAATAAAGTCCCTAATCATGATCTTTGTCTGTCATCCACATATAGCAACCAGATGAGAAAGGAATGTTGCTAAGAAAGAAACACATGGATTCTAAGATATGTTACAAAAGAATATTTTTAGTAAATGTAACCATAAAAAGAAGTGTGCAGCTTTAGCAACAAGTGAAAAGAATCCATGAGTGAAAACAACACATCCAGAAGAAGTGATGTCTAACAAAAATTACATGCTAATGTGAAAAACACATGAAAGAGAAGGAGAGCAAGCCACAAAAAGACATCAAAAAGGAGAGGTGGCAGCACGAGCAACATAATCTGAAATTCTCTCTGTTCCTTACAGATTTATGATTATTAAAGATCCAGACTTTTTTTCTTTTTGTGAGGTCCTGTTTTTCTCAGCAAACCCATACTGTATTAACTTGGAAAAGTTTAGCTCTGTTCTGTAGCTTCACCTAAACAGTCTTGACTACTTGTGTCCTCTAAATGCTCTTTAACATTGTCAAACAGGGTGTCCCCATTGAGGCCAACTGATTTCTATTGCAGTTTATGTGACAGAACACACTGAGAATCACAGTAGTCATGGAGAAACAAGTAGGAAACAATCCTTCTTCTCTCCAGTAGAAGAATTGAGGCCATCCAATGACATGAGCCATTCAAAACAAAAGAAGAGATAATTTTTTTCACAATCCATAATTAACAACGGGACTCTGATCCAGCTGATTGTAGATGCTTAATATTTTATTTGGGTTCAAAAAATGGAGAGATTAGTGGAGAGAAATCTACTAAGAACTATTAAGTAGAAATACAGAGAAGTCCTTTGGCTATAAATCAGCGGGGGTTGGGAAAGCATCACTGGGAAGGCTGGGGAGGCATCTCTAAATGTTTGATGATATATCTACTTTCAGACATATCACACAACTATATGCCTGTTTTTATTCTTATCCCCAAGCATAAACTTTTGCATAATGCCACAAAGTGCTTTGGTCTAACCTGGAACAGCATTTTTAGTGTTCTCAATTCTAACTACGATTTTGACTTTGTTGACAACTTTAGCATTCCTGCTATTGTGAGCATAAGGGACCATCTGGGTCTTTGAGTCAGTTCTCTGGAATAATCATCATTCATGAGACATGAATTTAGTTCAAACAGGTCCAAGAGAACACTATTCTCCATATGGGAGACAGCTCTCTCCTGCAATTGAGCAGGAAAACAAGATTTCATCACCAATGATTCAGATACCTGTAGTGGAGGGACTTGGTTAGATAAACATACCCTAGGACAATCCTATGAGGAGGACAAGAAAACAAACAGATTCCCCACATACCAAACTGCAATAGCTACTGTCAATTCCTTCCTGACTTCCACGTTCTCAGTGTCTTTCAAGCCACCAGCCTTCACTATCTTCACAAAAATTCTTCCAGAAACACATGAAAGGCACAATGCCTGCAGCTCCTGGCAAAGTTCTGCAGTGGTCAAACTTAGAGAGGTATGCAGCTCCCAGCTGGCCTATCTGACTTCACTGTGTTGTATCTAAGTCCAAGGCCACAAACAACCACACACTAACATTTGCAAACTGTGCTGAAATGTATTTGTTAGTTTCAAGTTTGGATGTTGAGTGAATCTACAATCACCTCATCCAAAGACTGTTCTTTAAAAACTATTGAGAGGCAAATGTAAGACTGGGGAGCATCCCTTCACCCTCCCGCACTAGAGTGAGATACTGAGACATGCCTTCTGCAGCCCCACCAAGGGCAGCTCCAGCACTTTAGAGAGAAGTTGTTAAATTCTGTACTACCAAAGACTTGATTTTGAGTCTAAAACTGGAACTTTGGGAACTTTTGCTGATATTCTGATCCAAATGTGTGAAAGCTCCTCATCTTATTGTTATTCTTAATAACAATGACAGAATTAGAGAACAGCAAGCCAGTGAAGTCACCTCTTCTCCTCACAAAGCAGGTTTTATGGTCTGCAGCGTCACAGTCCATCCAGGTCCCTTATGCCTCAGCTGCAGGAGGATTCTGAGCAATTTCTGCAGCATAGGCTTAAACCTGAGCATTTTCAGAGGGCACAAAGATGACACACTTCTCTGGGGCCAAGCTAGTCTAAGCCAGAGGTAAACACTCTTGAGTTCTCCCTGAGCCAATAAGGCTGTAATTACCATTTTGTTCTAGAATGACAGCAGTAAATCTTGATTATTTATTAGAAAATAAAAATCAGGCAAAATCTGAACATTGATAGCTGAAAATGAAAAAACAAAGATGCTTCTAGAAACTATTGATGCACCAGCATTACATGTGAAAGTGCAGAAATAACTCTTCCTTCCCTACAACCTAATGTAGGTGTAGGGTAACTCTGGACTAGAGGTGTAACCAAGGAGTGCAGCAGTAAAACATGCTATCAACGTAAAACAAAATGGAACTTTTAGTTTTAAATAGCGGAATCACAAATCCTCTTCACTCCACTGACTTCAAGTAATTGAATGCCTGGAATCCACAAACCTCAAGAAGTCAGAGAAAGAATCGTGGTTGTGAATTTCCACAAAACGAGCATTTATGCACTGAATGGTCACAATGTTTTAAAAAAGAGCACTAGACTGTCCCCTCTGCATCTTACAAAAATAATGAAGCACCTGCATAATTCAAGTGACACATCAGTTCTCACTGTATGCACAATGTATACATTTCAAGAACTTTAACATACTAAGTCCCCGGGAACAGCAAGTTTTCAAGAAGTCAGGATTTGATAGCAGTCTCACAAGTATTGATGAGCCCCATCCAACAAGACCAGACTGATCACACGTGTGACAAGATATGGTCCCTCCCAGCTGTTAGCAAAAAGGTGAACAGAAATGTGCTCAAGAATACGATAGTTAGTGACGTGCAAGTCCTGCTCAGGTGGTCAAGTTGTCTTGGAAGAAAACACACTGCCAGGGCAACACACACTGAACCTCACCAAAAGCACGTGATCATTAATCTCCTCCGTAGGAGATTTCACATAAAGCCGGACAAATTCTGCTGTCACCAGTAGAGCTTATTTACTAAACAGTGAATCAGACTTAAGCTGCAATTTTTAAAAGAAAAGGACTTGTGTGCACAACAGTGCACATTGTTCTGTACTAATTATCTAGCGGCCCTTCGGTCTTTGCACTTTCAAGTTTTCAGCAGCCCATCTTTGAACGGAAACAAACAAAACACCTCCATAAAAAGCTGCCCTTAAATCAAACCAAATCCCCAGGCAGGTTAGGCAGGACACACATGCACCGGTGTGCTTAGCAGCCAGTAGCACACAGACTTCAGACGCACAAAACAAGAAGCATTTGAACATTCTTGCCACATGGCATTACATGTTTGTATTCCTCCCTTTCTCACGCATGCACAAACCCACACATTACAGAGAAAATAATGCTCACAGAATAGAACAAAGACCCTTTGTTATTAGAGAATCACAGAATCACAGAAGTGCAGGGGCTGGAAGGGATCTCAAGAGTTATTGTTCCATCAGGTTTTGGAAAATCCCCTTCTTTGTCTAAAACTAAACTAAATAGTGCTGCTTGTGTCACGATGATTTAAATACACAAAGCTTGTACTGAAAAGAAACACCGATTTCTTTTAGAATTCATATCACTAGAAAATACAGACAAGCTTTCGAGAGCACAAGGGCCAATTTTCAAGCATCTTTATTCAGGGGAAAAAAAGCAGTAAATACAACATCCATTCAAACGCACACACTCTGAAAGGACACAATTGGAGCTTAAGGCTTATCGCATCCAGCTGTGTGACAGCAGAACCTCTCATGGTTACCTCCCCTAAAAGTGCTAATACTAACACAATTAAAAAAGCAAGCTTAAATGAAAAACAAACAAACCCAAACCAACACCAAATACAGCAACAGAAGGAAAACAAACAAACAAAAAAAACTACCAGCAAAATACAGCAGGCTGTCTCTGCTTACAACAGTATGAATGAAGGAAAGATGCTTGACAACAAACACGCAGCTCCACAATTAGGAAGGAACAAAGTACCAGACCAAGGGGATTGCTCACGGAGCACTGTAACGAGGAGTCCCTGCAGCAGCCTCTCCTAAGAGGCTGCTCTAACGCATATTTATTCTGAAAGGCTTAACAGCATTCCTACAATAAACTGCAAGCCACAATACTCTGCTGACAAGGCATTTGCCTACCTGAAGCTTCATTTTCCAGCACGAATGCATGCACGTATCTCCAGCGTAGCTTCCCTTGGTTGCATGACTCCTGTTAGCCAGCCTAAAGAGATGGAGCCGTGTAAGCAGAGCTGCTGACTGCCCTACATTTGCCTGCAGATGAAGAGAAAGAGTTGCTTCTGTACTTGCCTGGGCTTGTTTAAGCCCCTTAAATGTAGTACTAGTGTAGCTCAAACTAGACTAACTACTTCCTCCAGCTGATCCAAGTGAAAGGAGCGAGTGATGAATAATGCATGAGAGCTCCCAGAAAAGCTCATTCGTCACTGCAGCTGATGTCCACCTCTCCCCGCTCCCCAAAAACAATCCCTAGCAATTCTTGTGCTGTGAAGCATAGCAATTCTTCCCGTATCCAAAGAGCAAGGAGGATGTCCTTCCTAGATCCATTTTCTTTCCTCTACTTATTAGTAGATCTGGTGATTATATTATGAATTCTAATATTGAAAGTCCACACAGCTAGAAGTCAAAGAAAAAATGGTAACCACAAGACCATATCTCTAGAATATCCATACCAGTAAATTCAGCCAGTTGTTCAGAAATTAAAGTTTCTTACTCCTAAGGGAATAAGAGGAGCCACGTAAAGATGAACATTGAAGGCAGAGGAAGAATGGGACAGACTGGAAAACAATACTGCAGAAAGAAGGTGGTAAATAAAAAACCTGCTGTAGCTGGCAGGTTCAGCTGGCTGTTATAGACAAAACAAATTGTTTAGGGGAACTTTGTGGGTGGAAGAATATGGGAGATAAATTCACGCAGTTCTTCTCTTGAGCAATAAATTCCACTCATCACTACAACTTCACAAGCTAACTAAAAAGATCACTTACTTTTCAATATCCTTCCAGACTGAATAAATACAGGACTAATTTGCAAATACTTCATTTGCAATTACTGCAGTAGGCATATGTCAATGCATGCCACTTACAGATTCTATTCTATTTCCCCGAACTGTTTTGTTTTGCTTTGATTTCTGTCAGAGACACAAGTTATCTGGCATCTGTTTATCAGTTATCTGCTGCGGTCCAAATGACAGAGCCATCTCAACACACTACAAAGGTTCTCTCAAGTGGTTAGTTTCCTGTAAACGAAATGTAGCCTTAATGTATCATGCACCAAAAGCAGTGTCTGTGCATGAACCCGGTCTTGCACATCACATCCTACCAGCTAAGCAATTGGGCTGAACGCGATAGAGACAGGAAAACTGCTTTATAGACAGATCTTCTGTTTCTGCAAAAGAAGCCGAAAGGAATACACCTTGTCAGAGAGAACAGTCATGTGGCATACTCAGAGCCTGCACTATAACCAGACAGTAGCAGATGAAACAGCTGAAATTAATCATTCTGAGTGCAACACACTTCTGAGTTGTGAAATGGTATAGTCTGCTCACTTCTATGTGCCTGACTTGATTTCGTACATTCCAGCAAGTGGTAAATTTAAACTGCAAGATTAGCTCTATCAATGGCAGGGTCCAAAACCTGTCTACTCTCATACTGCATTTTGATTAAACATCAGAATCTTCTTTTCCCAGTGCCAGCCCTGCAGACTCCTGCAGGCACACAGACTGATACCTGTATCTGCTTCTCACAGAATCACTGCTAACAAGGATTTTGCAGTCAAAATTTCTGCCTGGACACCTGCACTGCCATGAATTCACACTCTAGATGTCTGCTTTAATATCTGTGCTTACGGCATGGAAACTAGAGTCTAGTTCTGAGGTTGTTTTTAGGCTCTAAGTTACTGGGGCTAACAGGATTACTGGAGGGGAGGGAGAAAAATCTGTCATTAACATACAGTTGTCAGGCTTTGTATACCATCAAGGCTTACTTAAGAACATTTGCCCTTTTCTACATCACTACAGCATTCCAGAATGTTAGGTCAGAGGTTATGAAGGTTGGTTTCTAAACTCAGTTGATAATAAAGGGACAGACTCTTGAGCAGGGTCTATTATGACAGAACAAGAGGAAATGGTTTCAAACTAAAAAAGAGGAGATTAAGACTGGATACAAAGAGAAAATCCTTTGTAATAAGGGTGGTAAGGCACTGGCACAGGTGTCCCAGAGAGGTGGTGGATGTCCCACCCTTGGAGACATCCACAGTCAGACTGAATGGGTCTCTGAGGAACACAATCAAGCTATAGGAGGCCCTGTTCATTGCAGGGGAGTTGGACGAGATGACCTTTAAGGGTCCCTCCCAACTCAAACAATTCTAAACACAGCAAGCTGGAAGAGAAATCCGGTTTAATCACATTCTGCTCCAGCGTTACACTAAAGGGCTGCCCCAGAGCCATGCATGCACATGGCCCATGGGGCCGCTCCCACAACTTAGGTTGGCAGCAGTGTATTTCTGGGAGAAACAAACCAGAGCACAAACAGATGAACATAAGCGGAATTAAATGCTGTTAATTATTTCAGACAATTCTCTCCATTGTGTATTTCAATTTAAAACTTAGCATGAGAAAATTCAGTCCTACCTTCCTGTTGGAAATGATGTTTTATCAGAGAGATTTAAATTTAAAAAAGCACTTTCCTAACTTTTTAAAGGATAATGAACACAGATTTTTCTAAAACAATCATTTCAATTCACTAAAAATTTAATCAAAAACCCACTCATACACAAACCCCAAATTTCAAGGTGTTTCAGAACTGGGGGGGGAAAAATTGGAATCATATATGGAAAGCATAAGGTCACACGGCAAACAACTCCAAATTGCTATGAATTAATGGATTTTTGAAACAGCTTGTGATTTCTTATGATTCTTATATTTAGGAGGCTAGAAAGATCAGTTTAAAAATTAAAGGGGTTCAGTTGAGCAGTTTTCCATTTTATTCAAAACGATGAGCATTTTGTAGCATTCTCTTGCATGCCTGAACAATGATGTTGCAGCTGTGAAGGAAGAGATGCAGGAGGCCTCTCCACAACAAGAACTGTGCAGAGCAGAGTCATCTTTCATTCATGTGCACTTACTAGGTGAAACTTGAAATAATGTGTGCAGTGTCAGCTGAAAGACACATCACTTCATTACATGCTTATGCTAGAGGCCAAGCTGAATCATGTTGCTTAAGTACTCAGCAACTGGCTGGCCAGTTCATTTTACAGTCAAATTTTGTACAGTCTATTTAGTTTATCCCGTTTTTAAATAACTGCCACCTCCCGGGGAAATTCTCTAGTAGACCATCTGCTCATTTCCTATAAAACCTTTTCTCAGACCTTGCCCAAATTTCCGCTGCCAATCCGAACTTCTTTGATGTATAGGTAGTGGCGGCAATGAAATAAAAAAAAATATAATTAAAAAGTACTCTGAACTGAAGTCTGCAGTACAAAAAGGCACTTAGTATCAATGAGATAGCGATAGAAAGGCGGTTGTTTCTCTGCAGTATATCTCAGCCAGCAAAGAAGCCTTTCTGATCCTTCCTGGTCATGGGTTAGGAGACAACAGTCATCATCCAGAGGCAGCTCATCTTGCATCTTTAACTTGGTATATTTCTGCCTGAGTTGCTGCACAGCCTTGGAGGGCAGTGCAGGGGCCGCCTGCAAGCATCTCCCAATCTTCTTGGCTGCTGCCTCACTTACTCCAACCTCAAGCCTACCCTACAGCTTCCAGCTGGTGGACATTCCTTGGTCCAAACCAAAGGAAGGTGGAGGAAAGGAAGAACCAATGTGGATGGCACAAGGGTAAGAGGAATAGAGGGAAAGAGGAAATAAGGAGATGCTAAATATCAGGAAGTGTTTCCTGCCTGTGAAATTGCATGAAATGGTACTTGTTGAGAGGCTTCTCTCTTTTTCATGAAATGCTGTAGGCTGCACAGATGCAATGTAAAACTACTTCCAAATAAACAAGGCTGAAAGGAGCTTCTGCAATCAGGGGACACACTGAGGAGCTAACAGACTTTGATATAGCAGATGTTTTTCCTAGTCTATGTGAATTTCATAGTGGAAACATGAGAGGATTTTACATCTATTTTTAATGAAATTAGCATCAGTAATCAAACTCTTTACCCAGCATTAACAAATACCACACAAAATCCAATGCTTCCATGCAGCAGGCAGAAAGACAGCAGCACATGCTGACTTGGGTCTACTGCTCATGCCCAATTCAAGTACTTGTCACTGTGACACAAAATTATGCTTCTACAGAGCAACGTAAAGGTGCTTATCCAAGTGCTGTGGGTGTCACTAATGCAGCTACAAAACAAGAGCGGAATAGAACAATATTGCCTGTAGAACTTTTTTTAACAAGGATTAAAAGATGGAAGGAAAAAAAACACACACAAAAAGCACTTCACATTAGAGAAAATCGGGTGATTGAACATGAAATGAAAAGGCCAAACTTCCCCTCATCATCTACAGCTTTGGCTCCTTGTTCTGCTTTTTGGCCTTGGCAGGTATAGCTGACTTCAGAGTGGCGGACTGCACACAAGTTCTGCCCAGCAAAACCGCACATGTGGGAACTAGTTAGGACACTTTCACAAACATTTGAGAAATCTAAGAAGAAAACCAAAACCCAGAACTTTCTTATAAAGAGGAACTACAAGAGCTTCCTCAGAAGTTCTTCCAAAAGGAAAAACAAACAAACAAAAAAATAGATTCAAACCCAGCAATAGCTAAAATCCACCTAAGTCTTGTACAAGGTTTTGACAGAACAGATGCAACAGACCTGGGGCCAGGGCTCTGCATTAAACATCTCAAAAATCCTGGTTCTAAGTCAGAACATCAGACTTCACAGTTCCTCATCTCAATAACTGAACAGAAAAAACAGCAGTGCCATAAAATCAGCTGAACTCATCTGCTTCCCTTCACCTTGTAATCCCTGGAGGCTGTCTGCCTCAGCCAGATTTACCACAGGTAGCAAGACTGAAGTAAGCCTTCAGCTGTCTGCTCTCTGTGTTCCTGCTGGCTTTCCCAAACCATCCTGTGGATGTGGCAGGGACGCCGGGGTCACCAACAGCAGCTGGCTGCATCTGCACTGCTCCTGGGATGTTGGGCCCAGGGCCTGCTCCTCACCTTGCAGCACCTGGATGCTTTGCCAGGTGCTCTCAGGCATTTCATCCC